GGACGACCAACAGATATATTTCCTGCTCCGCTTTCACTAGACAACATAATTTAACAATGAAATCATAGAGAAAAGAGTATAAGCAACGAAGCATCACAAAAAAACATTCAAAAAGTACAAAAGGAAAATGAATGCAACGTTACAATGTTGTTTGAGGGAAAACTTGCGGCAAAAAGTGTTTAACTTTCACTCGAGAGTTGACTCACGCATAGGCCCTGGTAAAGGCATCTGATTTTACTCAGTGAATAAAACTGTCTCGCGTATTGTCCCAATGTTTCATGCCACGCAAATAACTGCGTATGCCATCAAAAGATCTATAAACGTGTTAAAAAAAATCTTTTGCAACCTTTTGAACACAGCTTCCCTGTGATCTCTCCTTGGAAGCACACCAAACATCATCGCTGCACAAATACATACCTATATATATTTATATTTATATATATTTTTTATATATATGTACAAATATATTATATATATTTGTTTATATATATATATATATATATATATATATATATATATAAACCTATATATATTTTTAAAGTTCTCCGCAATATATGTACATATTTAAGAATAGTAAGATCATAAACGACTCGGACAAGTACGGTAATCAAAAAAACGATTATATAAGCGTATAACCTGAAATAAACCTACAAACTAGGCGATATTAAACGCAGCTATACTTGTATCTCTCTGAGCGTCTTTGTTTTACATGATGAATTGTGGTGGCAGCGGTGGTGTTTGTGCTGTGTACATACATAAAAATTGCTCAAAACGTTGTTATGAGCAATTCAAAGCTACATCAGTTAAGCAACTTTCAAAATTGATGTTTACTCTACGAGACTGGCAGTGTGCCATTCAGTTAACGCTGGCACTTTTCTGTTGCATTTTCAAATGCCGTTCAAATTTTTCCTTACAGTATTTGTATACCAGTAAAATGTTAAATTCAAATGAAAAGTTGGAAAACTTTCACGTTCGATTTTGCCGTAGACGCGTGGTACTGATCAAATAAGATGTCCAAGTGATGTGCTGAATCTTATGCCTTTTGTCTTGTTCTGTTCCGAAAGAGGAAAGTGCCCAACAAAGAGGTCTGAATAGAACTACCGATTCTTTGGCATTTTCAAGGAGTTCAACCGTTACCCTGAATCAACACATATTTTTAGGTTTTAGTTTTGGGGAAAGCTTATGCGTTTATAACTGGAGGAATTTGTTGTTTTCCAATCAGTTAACCCATATATCGCTTAACCGTGTTTTTCCACGAAACATTTATACGTAGTTATTTTGCGAAATGCGTTTAACGTTTTATCGCTTCACTCGAATATAACTGATGTTTGAAATTTGCTGGTATTGCCATCGACTTATTTTAAAACCGGCGGTGTTTGAGCTTCTACCAGTGTACCACAAATTTATCAAAATTTCTTTAATATTTATCATGCTAAATACTGAAGATATTGAAGGTTTAGGTGTATTAATTCCGCTAAGTTTACCACCGATTTTTAGTTAAAGAAAACTGATAAATTTTTTATAACTGCAGTAAAGTACTAGGTTTTTGACGGAAACTGTTACTAAGCTGGCTCTGAATCAACGGTGTGTTTGTAAGGTTTTCTACAAAAAAGGTCAAACAACGATGCCGTCTCCCTAGATGTAAAAATAAAACCGTAGAAGTCGAAGGATGAAGACTTTCAGCGTTCCGCTGATTATTAGTTATATTTATTGTTCTCGAGATGACCAATAATCGAAAATCAGGTAAAGGAAAATGGAGAATTAGGAATCATGGGACGACACCAGCGACAAAGGAGAAGCAAGTGTTTAGGGTTAACTTATATTCTAGAACTGCGATATAGCTTTCAACGTACGGACGTCCGAAAGCACAGATTTGCTACGCAGCCCAATTTACTCGCCAAGTATATAACAGACTATTGACGATATGCCTCATTCCCAGCCTGAATCACCCTAATTGTTAGTGATGCAGCAAAACTTAGAATTTGCTGAAATCTCTCACAGACCAAAAAAGTGATAAATATCATTATTCAGTAGCTTATTGAATAGAGACTTCAAATAGAGGATCTTTCACGACTTTTAACCATACGCAAGCTTGTTTCTAAAGCGTCGGTCAAAGTAGCATTTAGAAGCAATTTTATTTGGGAAAGGGTCGCAGATTTTGGTAGACAGCGTAGAAAAGGCATAAAAAGTATTTCTGCACTCAAGAGACCGTTAAAAAGTAATTTATGACGCGGACGGCTACGGTAATAGCTGCAAAAACTGCAGGTCAAACTTTTGTACAGAACTGAACTTTATGATATACTGCCGGCGAAGAGTCCACTGGTCAACACCATTGAACTTTGGAGCATTGTTATGGATTACTAGTTTACGACGACAATCGCACAGGCTGGTTTCGCGTGGTCCCGAGAAGTATAGACAAGCCGTAGGACGTGTGTTTAATTGTGGCTTGTAAGAGAATGTCCTTCTATAACAATAAAAGCAAAAAGCAGACTGCGCCGCTGTTTCACACGTTGGTGAGGACGTGCTATGGTCTTGTGTTGTGGATCGCTGGGACCGTGGTCGCGGTGTCTGGCTTCCACTTTTGCTCACTCTGCCACTACGTTCTTGAAACAAGTCCTCCATTTTATAATACATGGCCCTACTTTACCTGCAAGAAGCATGGCCTTTGTTATTTTTCGGTGCTGCTCTTTCCAGCTGTAAGACAGAGTTTTCGATAATTCTTGGTTATCTTTTAAACTGGTGCCATACGACGCTGATCTGTTGGGTGAGATATGGCGAGTCGAAAAGATGCAGTTGTGGTACAATGTAATGAAATCATCTGGTTTTTTTGATGCGATTATAACAGTGAAGAGGGCGTTTTCACCATTTCGCTACCCAGCTACTCCAGCTCATCAGGAGTTCGAGGAAGATAGTATATGTTAGCAAATGTTTGTTTAAATAAATCTGGTTTTGTTGCCAAACTAGTTAAGCTAGAAATGGTTCTGGTTTGCAATACTTCATTGGAAAGTGAGAAATAAAAAAAGCTTTTTTGCTGATGGGAGACAAGAAGATAACAGGAAGTCAGTGAAACCCCTATTTTAAAAATTTTGCGAAGAGAAGCCTTGAGATAGTTAAGGAAGAGAAGGGGAAGTAAGCTTTGTTAGCCTCTCTCATTTCACTTGGTCTTTTCATCTCTTCTGCATTTGCCACGTCTTTGTCCATCCACGTAATAATAAGTTTGCCATGAGGTTGGGTACCAAGAGGCGATGTTGGATGTCAACTACGCTGCTACTGAAGCCTTCTTAGATTTGTTACCAAGTGGTACACAAACCTGTGGCAAGTGTTGTTACTCTTGTGTCATTTATTTGTTATTGGTATCTCATGTTTTGTTTTTTACTTAGCAGTCCTTAGAGGGTTTTTCGGCAGAAACAGTTTAATAAGAATTACACGTCTAAATAACTGTTTTACACCGACCGAGAGGCTTTTCCACAAAATTAGTTTAATGAGACTTCCACATTTCAATCACTGTTATACATCAAATGGGATTTGTCCTGTACAGTTCATATGGTATGAATTGGTTGAGCAGAATTTGCTGTAGCATCTGCGCTCTCAAATTTATGAGATTTGTTTAATTACTGTACTTTGCCAGGGCCTTTAGCTTCTTCAAAAAACCCTAGATTACGGTTGCATTTTTCAGTGCGGCCCGGTTTTTGAGAATTCCCCAATGTGAAGGTCACAAAGCAAAGCTTGAGCTCCTGGTCCATTTTTCAATACTTTAAAAACACAGATCACATCAACTTTCAGTAAGGAAAAGCAATTTATAGGTAAACCACACTCATTCGTCATTACGCAATCTCTTTCCTTCCTTTTTGGTTCATATCATATTCTGTCCTCTAAGTTCCATTTCTACACTTTGCTTTCGAAATTTTGTATTTTTTATGCCTAAAAAACTCTGCGAAACGAATAAGCAGCATAATTGCATATGAAGACTGCGAATTTTGTCAGAAAAACCTACCAAGAGCTGAAACGAATTTTACAGGTGTGCTTATGGATATAAAAGGATTTTTAGCAAATGGCGAATCAGCCGAGGTTAATATTGATGCATTAGGCCGAATTAATAGCAAGTTATTCTCAATGTCAGACTATTCGTGGAAAGTTGAAACCGACTTTTTCATAATGAAACCAAAATTGGCAGAAGGTATTAAGCCTACTGCATGTGAAATTTTAAAACTAGTCGCAAAGCATTGCGACCTTTTTGGCCATTTAAGTGTATTTTTCTTCACGTGGAGATGTTTTAATGACCTCTTCGTGTAAATGAGGTTGACTGCGAACTTTTTTTAACCTGCAATTTGTTAAACAGATTCAAATGGTTTGAAAACAGACGAAAAAAAATTAGTTGTGGGTTCCTTTAGCCATGCTCAGTTTAATATGCGTTTTTTGAGTCAAGTCAAAAACTGCTTTTTATGCTGTAGTATTCGCACTCGAGGAATTTGTTTATATTTTAAGATTATATTAATTTTAATAGAACAAAGTGAATCTTTGAAAAGGTCCATTATCAGCCGTTCGGAACTCATTGCTGCCTTTACTGGTACAACTGCCGAGTTTGCAGCTGAACAGTCAAGACTGCAAGTGCAGGTTTGCATATGAAGAGGTTTGCAGTTTATCCTTTAGAGAATAAACAAGGGTGTTCTTAGGTCTACAGGTGAAATAATAAAAGGAAATAAAAAGACACGTGAAGTTTAGATATGTCCCATCCAATCAAAATCTTAGAGACTCAACCTTCAGAGGTACAACTGTTCCGGAAACTACAGTATTCACACGGTCAAAAGCGGGTTCCTCTTGCCTTTTAGATAGGAGTAGATGGCCAGAGCAAGATCTTGTTCAAAACGCAGCAGTTAAGAAGCCGGATTGTGGAAAAAATGTTATCAGAATTTCGACAGTCACATTTTTTGTTCTTTCGCAGTTTATAGTTCAAAATATTCCTGGTGAAGAAATTAAGCAATTTTAGATAATAAATAGAAGTTACAGAACTGGTTCTTTTATTTTGAAAAACTTGAGCGCAGGTATGGCTCACAGTGGCAGCTTCATCCCCTCATTTGGATTAATATGATGCTTTTTGGCTTGAAATATCATTACCATTACCGCTGCATTTGAGCATGTATTCCAGAAAGAAACTTTCTAATATGGAAATGACGAATTGGCTTGTGGTGCGTTAAAACAGAGCTAGAGAACATTACAGAGACTTCGTTCACTTGGCACTCATTTCACCGAAAAACCCCTTGAACGAGCACGAAAACCGTAGAGCGCCACGTGGCTAAAGCACTTCAAGGTCTTCACGTTGCTCTGAATTGAGATGAGCACAAGTGCAATACTCCACTTTTGCTCGCTCTGTTTTTTTTTTTTCTTAAGATATTTGGAAATAAGTGCCTGGTAAAACTTTTCCCGCCTCGATGATATATAGCACCAGTGACGCAAATGGCCGAAACTGGCGTAATACAGTTGGAGAATATATTACTGTGTTTAAGGATTATGATCCAAAAAAAAAACTTGCAGGAAAACTTTTGTTACAAAAAACTTTAACGATCTACCTACACTTAGTTCTGCTTTGAAAGAACTTTTAAGGTGCCCAGATTTAGTGCTTGCAGTTTCTTTGTTAAAGCTTTTTACCACTTATAACATATCTTGTCACTGTGACACTCGTATGGGTGAGGAGTTAAATTTGAGTTTACCTGAGCAACCAGTAATTGCCATACTAAGAATTAATAGTTAAAGCCTACCTGTTCATGCACCTACAATCGGAGTAGGCAGTTGTATTAGACATATTTTAAAAACGGGAAGGTAAGAAGAAAACCACTGCTCGAATGGATTGGCGCATCCACTAGCCGTCAGAAGCTCGCCGCCGGTTAACTGCTGTGGAAATACAGAAAACCACTTGTCTCAACTAAGACCCTAGATCTCTGGTTGCAATTCGTCAAGGACCAGGTTTGACGGACAGATGACGGCTGGCAACAAGTGTCTTCGCTGATGAAGCTAAGTTTAATGTGAGAGGTAGTGATACCAGTTGAATCAGTCAAGAATGTGCCACACTAGTAATCTGTGTTTACTGCGAGCTAGCCGGTGACTGTTTTGTACTTACCCAAGTTGCTACCACTAACGGATCTTTCGCAGCAACTTCGATTTAAATGAATAGCTTCTAGACAATCCACGAATCAACTTTACGTCTTAATGGGAGTATTGTCTAAACTAGTTTGCGCTTAAAGTGTATTTACGTTCCTGTCTTGTCTTTTACGGGCAGTATTTTAACCTGTTTATAACTCTATAACTCTTTTGGCTCCAGCTGCAGTTGACACAAATGACTCGCCGTTCTGCCTTGACCAACCCCTATAACTTTACCACAACATTTTCGCTGCTTCTCATTCTCCCTAAAATAGCTTATAGGCGGATTCAACCCTAATTTCCACTGGGCGGGAAAACGGTTTTCGCTGGAACGATTCCAGCGGAATTGGCAGTGTACCACGATGCTATATGGAGGCACCCAGAAGATTCCGGAGAAACTCCGGAAAAAGTATCTCAAAATTCTTTGTCAACTGTGTATATCAGTTGCTATTAGTGTCATTTTG